AAAGATAGACTTGAAGGTTCTAGTTTGGTCTATGAAAGAATAAATAGATATAAGACTGGACATGATCCGATTCAATTGGATTCTAACGAAAATCGAAACGGATTTGAAATTTTTGGGTATTTACTAAATGGAATCGTTAGGTTCAAATTTAATTTTGGAACAGTTCGATTGGATTCCATTCGAATAAGTTCGGTTCGATTCGGTTTTCGAGTTCCGTATTATAATTAAATATTTTAATATTTACAAAGCTACGTTAATTCAACTAATGGGATATTCAATTTTAGCTCTTAAAAAGTAACGTTTCTTTGCTGATTTTTTCACAAATTTGATTGTTAAAATCACATGTAGAGGAAGATAACAAACTCACTATAATTAAGAGAGACGTTATCGAGTTTCAATTCGACTTCAGAATTATAGAAACGGCACTACGGTAGAATAATAAATTTGGGTAAAATATAGGTCAATTCAATTAATTTGGGTTTGGACTGAAAATTTAAAATAGAAAATTATATTTTTGGATTTGAGCTAAATTAACTAGTTAACAAATTTATTTAGAAAAAATAAAATAAGCTGGCTTACTTAAAATAAATTAATTAAAAACTTTGGGATATTCTTTCTTCAGTTCTTGATTTAGAACCGATAATCGAACCAAACATATCGATTCTCGATTCAAATACCCCTTTGATTATTTAACTTAAGAAGAACCGTTCAGTTCAATTTGGGTCCGGTTCGGTTTGGGAGTTTCGTCCAATCCTAAATAGATATATCCCGAAGTATAAATTTTTGTATTTCCAACGATAAGGAGTCTGGTTATAGTACGAGGAAAGTTGCAACCAAAATTCGCATATATTTTTAAAATTCTTTATGTATGGAAATGATTCATCACTTTCTCTCAGTTGTATTATGAGATGCTATATTTTCCTTTCATTTTTTCGTCCACAAATAGATCGATGGTAAAGAATCAATGTAGCTGTACCATGCCTAGTATTTGTTTTATTTTTCCTCCAAAGAAAATAAGAATATAACACCAATTAGACTTAGCTTTATGGGATGCACTTGAAATGGCAACGGATTTTTGCCAATTCTACACGCATAACATTTTACACATCTGTTTGTCCTTACTGACTTGCATGCGTGTATGTGTGCATGAATTGCTCTCTCTCCATTTGGAGCGCCTTCTTCTTCAAATTGAGTTTTGTTTTTTGTTTCGTGATTCTCTATGTTTTATGTTTTTGCGTTCTTCTTCAAACATTTGGAGATTACGTTTTATTGAATTGTGAAGTGTTACGTTTTACATTTCGAGTTTATGTATTATTGAATTATGAAGTATTATAGTTTTTGTTTAAGACGAATAGTGAAGTCTTAGAAATTAACTCGGTTGATGTTTACATCCAAATGTTTGGAAAAAAAAAAAAAAAAAACCAAGTGTTTAAGGAGTTCATCATAGTTTCATTCTGTTTCATGCATGTTTGGAAAAAGCTAAGTGTTTAGGGAGTTCATCATAGTTCCCTTTTGGACCCTTTTGTGTGTAATCTCTATAGAGGCCAAGAGGCTTTGATTTTGTTTCATGATTGGGAAAACCAAGTGTTTGGGAGTTCATCATAGTTTTATTTTGTTTGTAATCTCTACAGAGGCCAAAAGCCTTTGATTTTCTAACTTGGATACTCAATGCTGAAAACATCTGTATTATTCTTTGTGATATTTACATGCATTTGTTCATATCAGACAATTAGAGGCAACTTTATGGTTTGCACTAATAGTTAGTTTCTTATAATTTTTATAATGTAACTTGGATGTTAAAGGTTTAATAAAACTTTATGGTTTGCACTAATAGTTCAATGTTTATAATGTATCTTGGATGTTATAGATTCAATGAAGCACAACTTTATGGTTTGCACTAATAGTTTAATACTTATAATGTATCTTGGATATTAAAGATTCAATGTAGCTGTTGGGAATGCTTGTGTATCGTGGTCATGTAACTTGTACTGATCATATTGATCTTGTAGGATTGATTCAGATTCTTGAAAAAAAAATGGTATAGACATTTGATCACATCGACATTGTTAGGGAGTGGAAATTGGATGATGTAAGTGTGTTTTACATACTCATTTAGGCCACAAAACATAGATAATTGTTGGCAAATATTTTGGAATATGGCTTGCTTCTATATAAATTATATTTTGCATGACAACATTGATGAATATGGTGGAATTTAGGAAAAACAAGTTAAAATGACTAAAATGGAAGAAAATCAAAGTTGGATCAAAGTGTAAATAGCTGAAAGATGAATCAAAAGAAGAAACGAAGATGTGAATGAGTTGAAAACTAATTGAGTGAAGATATGAAGTATTGGAAGGAGAAAAAGTGAGAAAAGAGGTCAAGAAACGAGAAAGTGGAGTTCGGGACTCGAAGATTCATATAGGTTTTAGAACATAGAAGGAGACAAGAAACATGAAAATCGATTTCCAGACTCGAAGATTCAATTCAAGATTTATTTAGGTGATATCGATTCTTCAATATTTCTTCTTCATAATATGTTAGGCCAGAATTCTTTATGTCAAGAGAACGATGAACCGTGTAATATGAGTTTTTAATCTTTAGTTTTATATATTTGACATTAAAAACACGTTTTTGGACATCGAATGGTTTATATAAATTTCTTTTCTCCACTATTATTGACCACGGTAGTTGTGTGAATGTGGTAACATATTTTATGCATTTGAAAGAAAGAAAATAAGCTCGACAAGCTATAAATTGTCGCATGGTCCAATAGAGGATATAAATATACACCTATACTCTATCTGAATATTAAGTGTTCAAAAAAATTCATCTACTCTTATATGTTCATATTTGTCATAGAAAAATGGTCAGGTCATATATTATAGTAGGCTTAACATTACTCGAGAAAGATTGTAGAATAAAATAGGAACATTGATTCTTCAAAATTCAACCGATTGCTCCTTTATTATTATTATTATTATTATTATTATTATTATTATTATTATTATTATTATTATTATTATTATTATTATTATTTTTGTCAAATTGTAAAACAAAAGTGTGCGTTGGTTGTTCATTAGAACACATCAATTTTCATTTAGCATAATTTTGCATTTGATTTTGTTAATTCACTCATAATTGCATATATAACTTATTTTAGTTATAATTTTATCACAACAAACTCATCTTATTATTCTTGTTTCGGTTAAAGTTGCGATAATTAAAATCAAACTAAAACAATCTCTGTTGGATGATATTTGGACTCAAATTCACTTTATTACACTTACGATGGTTAATTCGAAAGATATCTTCGTGAACAAATGACAAAGTGAAAGCCAAGAGTCTGTGTTTTGGAAAGTTTGCAGATATTGGTTCTTCTATTAATATACCAGGCCATTTGTTAAAAGCTATTTTTGCATTCTTATAATTCGAAGGATAACAATTTTACATTGAATGGCCAAAATTTGTAAGCTGGCATGCTATTACTAAATGAACACTACTTTGTTGACATCGTCATTTGCACCGCGCGATTGCAATCTAGAGTCGTAGTGTCGTTTTGAGACAATTGTTATAGATTTTGAAAATGACATGTTTCAAAAGCTAGTTATTTAAGTAGGAGAATCCAAGTCTATGTAAAATCCACATTAAAAATTCATACTTTCGATGTGGGGTGTAAATCTTATACCTTGCAATGGGAACAACGAAAATAATCTACATGTTTTGCAATGGACTTAGAGTATCTTCAAAAGACTATTTATTTTTAAAAAATATATATATTCTATCATTTCGAGAACATTTATAAATTTAAAAGGTTAAAATTTTGAAATATTCCAACAAACTCTTTATATTTAATATTTAATGTTATTACTCCAAAAATATTTATGATTTTTCTATATCTTTTATTTTAACTAGCTTTTCTTCAGATTATTTTATTATTTTTTCTACATTGAAATTTAAAACACTTTGAATGTATTTAATTATGGAGAGTGAGTTTGGCTCTTTAAATTAAAATGCTAATTTAAAAAGTCTCTTGAAACATAATTTTAAATATTGACTCTTTAAAAGAGATAGCATATTACATTTAAAGAGTCTTTTAGAAATACTCTTACCATCCTCTTTTTCAATCCTATTTGTGATAATACTATACTCACATGTTTCCGTGTATTAGGTAGAATGAAAACTACTTTAAACATTTAATAATCGTGCTTAATCTTACCCATTCAAATCATGCCCTACCCATATCTACCTTTTGTTTTCAATATTTATTGTACTTAACTATCCCTTTTAGAATTGTATTTAATTTATCAATTTTAAACCCCTTTATGAACTGCTTTTCTCACGAAGTTGCTTAAAACATAATTAATTAATGATCACTATGTAATTAAGTACTTTTTTGTTTGATTACTTTATAAAGGCCAAAAGTTGCTTGTCAAACTTAGTAGCCGGATTTCGCGTACGATTCCTCGATTTTTCAGACAAATTAAATTATATAATTTGAGAAACTATGCTGATACACTTAGCAATTTGTCCTTGAATTTTGTATTTCTTAATACAAAGATGTGAATAAAGAAGAATGGGCAGGCCAACAAAGATAGAACCTCGATATTTTTCTAGAAAACTTCTACATTTTTAAAGGTCAAGCAAACAAGCAAAGTATTTTGCTAACTTTTTTCTTTTTTGTTCAATCGAGATTACAAAAATGTGATGAGAGTGCGATGAAAATATAAGATCTTAAAATTTTAGTCTTCCTCAAATACTCGAATCTAATTCAGTTCTACATTTAAAAATAGGAGACTTCATAATTATATTTGTCACCTAGTAGTGAACAATACTGTATAAGATGATAGAACATATTCTTCTTCAATTTAAAGTACCATATTGTGATCGGCAAGGCCACCTGAAAAGGGATGAAACATAATTTTTTGCTTGATAGTTTTAGAATTCAAACATAATAAATGGCAGTTTGACCAGGAAATTATATATGCACAAAGAACAAATACAAGAATAGAGCAAACAAATCAATATTGTTGTGTTACAAATTACAATCCAGAGGCTACATGACAAAAAAATAGGTTACTAACTATGATGAGTATAACATGAGACAAAAAGAAGGGGATAATTTGCGCCAAACTAATGCATCAAGCATGAGATCGAATTGTAAAGGAGATTTTTGAAATCACTAAGTCACATTTTAAAGTACTTCTTAGAAAGAAAATGACTTTGAAGCAGCTTCGAACATGATATACAGATCCCGTGTGTACCTTCTTTATCATCAAGAGGAAGAATTCAGAAAACAAACACAACTGTGTAGTTTACAACTAATCCCTGCATTTTTGTATAGCGTTAAAGGTCAAATAAACTGTGGAAAATATCTAGTGTATTTGGAGAAGGCATATAGGGTGAAACAAAAGTTGGAGGACTGGGAATTAAACTGCTCTCTAAATAATTTTTGTTACTGTGTAAAACTGGGCTTAAATCATAGAAAAAGTTAAGTGGATTCTGATCAGATGAAGGGGAGAAATATTTTTGTGGAATAGATGGAAGAGAAGCTGGATTAGGAGATAAAATACCCTGAAGTTGCCTGAAATTGCTGTCAATTTCTGTGCTAATATTTATCCCTTGAACCATTTCCATGTCATTAAAAGCTTGTGGTAATCTTCTTCCTTCTGGTGATTTAGTTTTTTCTATAGAAGCAAAACGTGCAGCTGGAGATACTGAATCCTTTTCTTGAAAAACTGAGGAGGAACTAGAAGAGGTCGAGGTTGAATTCCGGCCGGTTAGACGTTGAACCAGTGACCTAAATTCATTAGGATTTGCATGGATTATCTTGGGAGAGACGGTGTAGATTATGACCGGTGGTCGAGGTGGTGCTCGAGGCGGCTGCTGCTGCTGCTGCGGTGGTGGTACTGGTGGTTTTCTGATCTTGTGGGAGTCTTTACGTACTTTTAGAGGTGTTGGACGAGGTCCTTGGAGTTGGAGCTCCCTCCTAGGTGACCTTCCGGACGGGAATTCTGATGTGTCCATGGCGGTGACAGGTGGTTCCGGTGATTAGTCAATGGTTGGAATGGGAGGAGATGGGGGCGGCGGAGGTGGTGTTTTGGTGTGGTAATGATGATAAATTGCCTTATTTTTCTAATGCAAACTAAGATGAATATTTAAACAGCGGCACTGGTCAAAGGAGCAAACGTATAAATCAATTGAACTTGTGCAATAATTGGCCAGTTGTGTCTCTATATATATACAAACATACGCGTATATATGTAAACATACACATCATATTCATTAATTATATACTGATGCATCCTAGCTTTGGGCCGATTCGTTGTGTTATAAATGTTTGAACTTGTCAAGAATTACGTGTATTTGAGTTCAGAAATATTTCACTACGGTAAACAGTATATTTGACAGGATTGTAAGAAATATAGTCAAATAATGTGTACTCCAACCGATCCCCGATCATACGTGCATTAGTAAAATTGCTTTCTTTTAATAATTTTAAATTTTTTCAAGAATAATTTTATTTTTAGTTACTGGATTGTACATTTCAAAAGACAGTAATTATCATGGTTTTAATAGAAGTTTCTTTTGTCTTTTTTGCTTCTTTGTTTTCAGCTCATGTTGAAAGTCTATTCCTAGATACATGCATGTGCAATTTGTCAAACAATGTCTTTTTGACTATTCATTTTTTAAATTTTATTTTAAGATTAGCCTCAAATTACCTTTTTCTTTTCAAAAAAAAATAAAAAAAGGGAAAAATAATTCTCTAAATCTCTAAACACGTTAGTTGAGTGCACGCACAAACATTAGTTGAATGAGTTCACATTTGTTAACTTATACTATTACAATTATTTCAAAAATAGGCTAAAACATTGCTTTTGGTTGTAGAAAAAAATATATTGAACTCCCATTTAACTTCCTATGAATTGGACAAGAAAATATTTTATCTAAAATTTTAACAAACAACCCTTAATTAAATTATTTTGATAGGACAAGAAAATAAGTGGTGCATGCAAATGCAAGTTGCTTGTGGCCAGATTGCAACATTAATGATATGGACAGTCCAGCCGCACGAGTTGACTCGCTAAACTCACAGTGACTTCTTCTCCAAACTCTATATCAGATTGACCAAATCCATGGCATATTATGATTTATGAGCAATGACATAAATAAATATTGAAAAGAACAAGGTCTTTCTTCCTGGTCAAGGTCTGGTTTGGCCTTGAAAAGTTCGAATTATCTAGGTGCAAAATTAATTGGGATGCGTGTTAAGGTTATCTCCATCTTGGGTCAAAACTATTTATATTTTTGGGTACATTTTTTATTGTTTTATTTTTCTTGACTTGGTTAAGTATTTGAATTTTGGTTGAGATTCTTGATCTAGTCGAGAGATACGTTTTTTATTGACATATTATCATTTTTATTTCTTATTGTCAAAATTTATATTTAAGTTTGAATGTTTATATTTTTACTATAAATTTCTTTTGTGCCATCATATTTTAATTGTACAAAAGGTCGTATTAATATTTGTTCCTTATTGACTTTATGCCTCTAATTATTTCTATTTTGTTGCATTCTTATCATTGATTTTTTAATTAGCGCATCTTGCCTATGGTGATGGTTTTAGCTCGAAAGGCATGTTAAATAGAGTAAAACGATTGATTTATTTGTCATATTTATTAATTAAAAAAATGTGTTACAATGACGTAAAAAAAACTTAGCAGTCACCCATATTTTGAGATCTGAACATTTTGCTAAACCTTTTATATAGTGAGATTTAATGAAAGTAGTGCTAGAAGTTGATTTTGTCTCATTTACGCCCGTTTGACAAGGTAAAAATTACTTCTAATATTAAGTGCATGTTTAGTGTGGCTTACCTTAAAGGTAAGTAACAAATGTACGACTTATTTTTTATGTAAACACACATATGGTCAAAATAAGTCAAGATAAGCCACTTTGAACATGTTTTAAGTAGTTATTTCTGAGCCTATTTAGATAACTTTTTAAAAGTGTTTTGTTTGATTATAAAAGTTTTTAGATGAAATTAATCCAAGATAACTTTCTTTGAAGCTCCTCTACAAAAACCAGAAGCGAAGTTATCTGGTAATTTAATTGAAAGTATCAAATAAGTACTCTGTTGATGTCAAAATTAGCAAGAATAATTTTGAACCAACTTTAAGAAAAAAGGCGATTTATGCTTAGAAAATATCACGAAGATGTGATAGTGCCATAAGTCGTTATCTGAATTTTCTGTACCTTTACAAGGGTCATATTCAACTATTTATACATAGTTTCAGCCGAAATTACATTAAATCAATCAAATCAGCAACAATGCCGAGCTCGGAATCGGGTCGCCAAATTCTCCTGTGATTGGTCAATGAGGCCGGTGGTCACGTAATGTATTACCCAGGTAATGATGACCTGTAAGGAACTGAAATTCAAGGACTTCAGATTGGTTATCCCGAGCGGCGATGACATCACCTGTGGCAAGTGTATTTGAGGGTGATGTGACAAGGGATAATCATGATGTTTTTCTAAGATAATAGCGGGTGAATCCGACCTGAGAGTGTGGGCCGAACTTATGTTTAACTGAGGTGGGTTTTGCGAACTTGTTTTTACCAGATTGGAGTTCGGATGTCAACAGTTACCCCTCAGGTCAGCTCTACTGTAGGGGGGCTGACCTCAATGATGATTTCTCCAATAAGTTCATTTATGGTTGTGACAAGTGTCATCTTTTGAGGTGGATAAGCTGTACGCCATTTATAAGTAGCTTCTTCAGCAAGCTTGGCCAAAACTACGTCGTTTTGCCTCCCAGGCCTTTGGTCTGTTGATATTTTCCCTCTATTTCTGGATGAATGGCTCAGATCACGCCCTCTCATCTTTCCTTTCTGTAAATTCGATTTTGGTCAATCATTTCTCTTCCTATTTTGCTGATTTTACTCTCTCAGATATTTGGGCGATTTCCCTAAGTTCGTATTCCCGTATTCGAGTGAGGTCATTTTCTCAGTTCGTCTCCCAGGTATCCTTCTGTTCTTATCTGCTGCCTCCTTTCAGTTTGTGCTTCTTTTCTTAGTTTATACATGAGTTCGGATGAGTCTAGGTTCATTCCTGGGGCAACCAGCAGAAAGAGTCAATTTCCTTCTCGACGAGTTCGTTTTCTAGTTGTAGGGAAGTTTTTACCCCCATTCCTATTTCTGTAGTTAACCCATCTGACCTAGGGCATCCTGTGATGGATTTAGGACGTGGGGGTTCCAAGGGAGCAGGGGAGTCCAATAAGGATGTTGAGGAGAGTAATTTCGGGGAGTGGGGGGCGAGCTCTTATAGGTCGGTTGTGACAGGGGATGTGTTGGCCAGCTGGCGAGCTAAGTACGCCATTCCTAGTTCGGTAGTTATGATAATATGAGAGCCATCTGACTGAGCTGACACTCCTCCTGAGGAATGTGTTGCTCTGAACTTGGCTATCCCCAGGCCGGCCTTAGGCTTCCTTTTCCTAGGGTGATTCGTAAATTCGTTTCTTCTTGGGGCATAGTTCCCACGCAGTTATGCCCTAACAGGTGACAAACCTTAATAGCCACCCTTATTCTGTGGGACCAAATGGGGAATCCTAAGCTGAGTGTCTAGCAATTCGATTCTCTATTTACTTTTAAGGAGGACGGGAAGAACTCGGGCTGGTGGTACACAAGCGTTAGGCTCAGACGGGAGGTTCTTTGGTGTTAGACACCCCCTCCTCAATTAAGAAATGGAAGGAAGAATGGTTTTATGTACCGGGGGAGTGGCAGTTCATTCTGCCGAGGTGAATAGGGAGGACGTGGTTCCCAGGCTTTATCATTCGTTATGTAAGTGTCTTTTTGGGTTTTAGTCCTTTAGCAAGGAGTATGTTTGACGAAGTGCTGACCTCGGTATTGTTCTTTGTGCAGATTACAAGAAGGAGACGTTAACCAAAGATACTCAGAGAAGAGCTGAGAAAATAAGATCGTTACCTAAAAAGCAAAGGTCATGGAAGTTTGTAATCTCAGATTCGAGCTTATACCGGGCCAGACTGCTGCAAGTACGAGCTTCAAGTTCGGCTCCATCCAGTTCAAGTAATATTTTGATCTTCATTCGCGGTTATAATGTCTTTATGCATATACATATTTTTTGAGCATTTCATTTTTCTCAGGTCATCAGGACGAAATGCGGGGCTACAAGGTAGCTAAGGCGGTTGCTGCAGCAAAAGGAAAAAAGAGAAAAGTCCCAGAATGGATGGAGAGTCGTTCTGAGGAGGTAGAGGAGGAGGTTCCGTTAAAGAGGAACTGATCTGCACCCTCGGTATCACTGAGAATTCCAGAGGTAGTGCCTTTGTCGAGCCAGACCCTGCCGTCTCCCTTGTTGTCATCCCTGGTTGCCCCTTCTGCTGTGGGGACCAGTTCTGCGAACGTGCAGGATCGGTGCCCAGATTTACAAAGGCTGAGCTGGGAAAGTCTGGTGGGACATAGATCGGAGATATTTCTGGACTATCTTCGAGCTCCTTCTCCTTCCAGGGGCATGACTGCCGCGCTCACTTCGCCTTTGAGGGAGTCGGCCAATCTACTTACTCGAAGCTAGGGTGAGAGAGAGCAGGGCTATCTAAACGAGATGCCTATTGGCGAGGCTTTGGTCACTACTTAGCTCCATGGCCACCGATCAGTTTTGTACATGATAGCAGTGGCGGATGAGGTATACCTCTTGTTTTTTTTTTAACTAATTTTATAAATACCTTAATGACTTACTTGGTTTTTGATTTCTGAAAAATAGGTGTAATCCAAGCTGGACAAACTCATATAGGTAAAAGATCAGGCCTTCAACCTTTACAATAGCATGGAGGCTGAAAAAGCCCAGTTCGCTTTGAGGGAGAAGGAGTATGAGGAGAAGCTGAACCATATGGGGATCGAGCTGAACTTCAGGCTCGATGTCGAGGAGCGACTGATTGAGGAGATCAAGGCGTTGAGGGCCTCAAAGGAAAAGGCCAGAGCTCGGGCAGAAAAGAAGAGCGGCAAAGTTAGAGAGGCTATCCAGAAAGTACAAAAGGCCAATGAAAGGGCGAGGCAGGCCACAAAAAGGGCTGAAGAGGCTGAGGCCAAGATTGACAGGGCGGTAGAGGCTTGGAAGGAGTCCTCCGAGTTTGATGTGGTGGCCCAGGATGTGTACGTGGTGGCCCTGGAGGAGTTGGTG